AGCGGCTCCGCCCTCACATCCAGGAAGCCCGGGTACTTCTGGGCCAGCTCGGGGCTGCTGTACGCGGGAGCCGTGTAAACGTGGTCTTTCTTCAGCTCTTCAGGAAGCAAATTGCTCCAGTTCACAAACTGGAACAAGTGGCTCGACTCAACTGGGACATGCCTGTTGGAGGCCATCGCTTCCCTGAGAGATGGATTGGCAGTGAAATAGGTGCTCCACAGCCTGACCATGAACGACCTGGTTAAAAGGGGCTTGTGCGCGGTTTCTCGGTAAGACGGCAAAAGACGGCAAATCCAGGTCAAGGGCTTGAAGAGCTGGGTAGATCAAAGCTTGGGCTTTCAGCTTAGTTTCAACTTCAGAGTCCTCTAACAGCTGTAGAAGAAAATAGATGCAATTACAAAAAGTCAGTTAAAAAGCATCAGTTCTACCACACTGACGTAAGATCTTAAAAGCAAAAAGTTAACGCACACACATTAGAGTGTAAGCCAAGTCAGTTTATCAATAAAACCAGGATGGATTTAAAGAAATTCTAAATTCATAGGCAGGTCGCCAAAGACAGCATGTTGTATTAAAAATTCTCAAGCAGCCAAAATGTGATAAGGATAGAGCAAGATTTGCCCTAATTATAGGGCAGAGAGCCTTTTTTTAGGCTTGAAGGACATCACAGCTTCAAAGCTACTTTGATGCCGTTGAACGGCTCAAGTGAATTTGCGTGCCAGGATGCTCCGAGCCCCAGACGGCTGCGTGACATCCTCGGCAAGTGGACCAACAAGCAACATTTGTGAGGTGCACTTGCTTTGAGCAGAGGATTTTGTTAGCCTTTTGTAAGTGTTCATGAAATGACCAAAAAAAAAAAAGTTAAAATAAAACACAAACTGAGCTAGCAAAGCGGCTTCTTGGCTTCTTTTCTTACGTGTTGTGCCACAGCTGCAGCTAGGTTGCCACCGGCACTGTCTCCTGCGACACAAACACGGTCGGGGTCCACCCCGTACTGGGAGAGGATGCTTCTCTGGAGGAAGAACTTGGTTACCGAGTACGCATCTTCGAACTGCACGGGAAAGTGGTATTTGGGTGCCAGCCTGTAGCTGCGGGAGGCAAGCAGAGCTCTGTTACTGCTGCTGTTAGTGAAGAGCAAGGCTTGCTAACAGCTGCCCTCACTGGTGAATGTTTGTTGTTTTCTGTGCCCAGAGAAATGGGAACTCTCTGCCCATCCTGGAGGAGCAAATATTTTATTACCCACGCAATTTCACAAGGCGATATTTAGAGTAACCACCAACACCCACAGTTCACCAGCGCAACCTTGACAGCCTTTGTCTGAGAATACTTAAAGCTAGCAGGAAAGAATCACAGAATGGCCTAGGCTGGAAGGGACCTCAGAGATCATCTAATCCAACCCCCCGCCGTGGGCAGGGACGCCTCTCAATTAGCCCAGGTTACTCATCCAACCTGGCCTGGAACACCTCAAGGCAGGGGTCATCTCGCCACCCTCGGACTGAAGAATTTCTTCCTAAGATCTGATCTAAATCTATTTTCCTTTAACTTAAACCCATTTCCCCTTGTCCTATCAGCGGACAGTCTTGTAAAAAGTCCCTCCCCAGCCTTCCTGTAGGTTCCCTTCAGGTATTGGAAGGCAGCTATTAGGTCCCCCCAGAGTCTTCTCTTCTCCAGCTGAACACCCCCAGCTCCCTCAGCCTGTCCTCGGAGCAGAGCTGCTCCAGCCCCTGGGTCAGCTTTGGGGCTTCCTCTGGACTCTTTCCAACAGATCCAAGTCCCTCTTAGCACATGATTAAAAAATCAAATTTCTAAATTGGATCAGTTGAAATAGGCTAATATATTCCAAACCCTCTTCCCATCTAGAAGGAGAAACTCTCTTACTTGACTGATACCACGACAGCATTTAACCTGTTCGCAGTCAGCCTTGTCAGGTGGTCGTAGGATCTCAAGCCTGAAGTGAGAGAAATCACTGAGAATACGGCCGGTACATTGGAGAGCGGACACTTAGACAACAGCGGGTTCCTCCTTCAGCTCTCACGTGGCTTCCCAACCCCCCCGACTTTAACTAGTGAAATAGCAGTTCCCTGACGCTCTCCCCATGGCAGCACTTGACACAGCCATCGAGATGTTCCCCGCAGAGCCCAGAGCTCACCTGGGTGTCCCAGGCACCAGCCTCCGCCGTGGAAGAAGACCACTGCCCTTCTCAGCCCCGCGGACGCCTGCCTGGGCACGTACAGACGGACAGCAACGCCGTTCAACTCGGTGTCCATCACGGTGATGTTCTCATCGGATACGGCTGCGACATGGTCAGCGTCTGTGACCAGCGCCAGAGCATCCACAAAGTCCATCAGACCCAGCAGATCAGCAGCCTCAGCCTAAAGCCCGGGACGAGAGAAAACAGCATTTAAAAGCAGCCTTAGTCCCTCTCAGAGATTTGATTTCCATAAAGCCATTTAATATTCTGCCCAAGTCTCTGAAATCACGGCAGGAGTGGCTAAGCCAGACGCTGCAGACTCGGAGGAGCCGCTCAGCTCCCTCCTCTCCCCCGGGCTGACTTCCCACCACCGAGCTCCGCACCGGGGCAGGGCGCTGAGCCACCCCGGCTGGACCCAGGACACAGAATTTCTCTTAAAAATGTGTCAGCTTTCATTATGCTGAGGCTTTGGTACACAAGAGCAACCACAAGCGAAAACATTCCTAAAAGCATTCGCTACGAGCTCCACTAGGAACACAGTTCGCAGCGACTCCTCGTGCCCGGCAGCTCCCCGATGGGGACACCGCGTTTCCCCTTGGGGGAGCTGCCACAAGTCAAGGGGTGACCAGCATTTGCTTATGCACAAGTCTTGATGGCTTTTTTTTTCCCTCCCCTACCTTTTTTTCCTCTTACATTTAAAGAAACTTACTCCTCACTTTGCTTTTAAGGTATTAGGAATGTATTCTAAAAACACATTGAAAATCTCTAACAGGCAACACAAGACGTAAAAGGATGATGTCACAATGGCTGCAAGGAAAATAAAGCCTTCATTTTCTACACTGAAAGACAATGTAAATACCTGCCTGAACAAAGCTTCAGCTACTTAATCATCCTGTACGCTACTTTTTCAGAAGTCAGAAGGAGAGAGGATAGAGCTAAGAGCCTGCTGACGACACTTGACAGCGACTGCCACCACATTTAAGGGTGACCTCTCTGGAGGCTTGGCCCCAGCGATGCTGGGAGCTCCGCCAGACCCTGCGGCTTGGAACCGGGGTGAAACGGGCAGTGGCGGGCACAAGGACAGCGCGGGTCAGTGAAACACAAACACACGCGTGCCACAACTGCACGGGCTTACACACAGTGACTGCACACTTTACGCAAACATTTCTCGGCTGTTGTATTTTCCCCTGATGATTAGCATCTTGAAAAAATAAATATATAGGTCAAAGGGAGTCCTGCTGCAATTCCACCGAGTTTGCAAAACTCACCCGCACTGGGAGCGGCTCCTTTAGCTTCAGGACTGAGGTTTTCAACGCTCTCAGAGCTGGTTTCTCCAGAAGTGGACATTTCGCATTGTGGAAAACCACTGGTCTGCTGCCTGTGGTTTCAAAGCCATTATCATATAAAAATAAAAGGAAATCCTACCCTCATCTGAAAAGTCTCATTGTCCCCAGCATGAGATTATGGCATGTTGTGGGGTAAGAGGAAAACCAGCCACTTTGGGACTTTGTCTTTTGTGTCCCTCGTGCTTTGGACGGCATTTTCCACAGTCGCTTTCTCCATCTTCAACAAGAGGAACACGGCAGCAAGAACAACAACAACAAAACCAAACAAACCCCAAAACTTATTGCTGAGGAAGGGAGCCCCAGCTGTGCCTTGACAGGCTGAGAGCCTGGCTCAGCTTTCCTGGCACGTCCTTTTGGAAGCCTGGAAAGAACCGTTTTGCTCAGGCGTGCTCGAGGGTAGCAGCGTTATCACCCTTTCTTCAAACCAGCCTCCAACAGTCCGAAGGACTAAAATAGGGTCCCCTCCCCAAATTAAGACCTGCTACTACGCGGTAATCGGATGACCACTCAGAATGTATTTAGGACACTTTAGAGCCCTCTCAAATCTAATTTGCACTAGCACGGCTCTGGGCAGGCTGTGTTTGTCACCATCCGGCAGGATTACGGTTCCTCAGGAGGCTGGAGCCCTTACAAAACTCTTGCTCCGCGCCGCTGCCGCTCACCGACCGAGGCTCAAGGGGCAGCCAGCACAACCGCCACAGGAAACACCAGCTCTGTGTTAAAGCGAGAAAACGTGATCCCCCAGCACCAAAAGAACACGCTTCTGCTGGCCCAGCACCGCCGTGCCGGAGGCTGCAGCTCTGACCGGGCGAGCAGCCACGAGGGGCTCCTGGGGACCCCAGGTATCTGTGCGTGCGCACGCCCTCCCTTGCAGGCTGCCCCCAAAACGGGATTTAAGAAGGGAAGAAGCAAGGCAGCACATGGGAAGTGCAGGCTACAGCTTCTTTCCCAACACTTTGCCATCTCCCGCCACTCAGACCTCAAACCACAGGAGCAAAACAAACAAAGTAGCGGCGAAAATCCCTAAGTAAATACACCAAAAAAAGGAAAAAAATCATCATGACTGTCCTTCTGCTGGCTGCACAGACCTGGCTGGAGGTCTTGCCTGCAGACCAAGGCAGTCTGACCCAGGGCTGGCTCTGGGGACTGGCAGCGGCTTTCAGACACTGTTCAGGAGACAGCCCGAGAAAACATCACCTCGCCTCCACCAGGAAAACCATAAAAGGGATGGCTCCCACGGACTTCTGAAAATCATACCCACTGCCTTCTAACTGAAACACTGTGAAAGGCAAAATCCCAAATTCCTGCACTTGGGAGCAGACAGCCCCGGTGTTCGTGCCTGCAGCAGACAGCCTCGTCAGCAGCGTCCCTCAAGCAAAACTAGAAACCTCGCTCCCCGCTTCTCAGACCCTCCTTTTGATGGATTTTGTGGTGGATAAAAAAGAAAAAGATTTTTTGTTAAAAAAAGAGCAGTCTTAAAGTGTTTGCAGCCTCTCAGAAAGACATCTGCGACACTCAGTCCCTCTCCTCCCCCAAACCTTCATCTTTGACCTTTTTTTTTTAGATTCCAGTCACACTGCTGCAGCCACCAGCGCTGGATTCAAGTCCAGGCTGGATTCAAAACAGCTCCCAATTTAATGTACTGAAGAGGTGGGAACTACACCATTATTTATTTACACACGGTGTGTGCAGCCTCACAGATCATTTACATATGTTGGAAATGGCTGTATGACATGACTGAAATGAAGCAGAAGCCAGTGATGCAACGTATGTAAAAATAGCATGGAAAAACATAAGGACCACGCTGTCAGTAAATATTGCCATGTAACTACAGGGTGTAATTCTTCTGCCTTTCCAGACTGACACACGGTTCCACGCTGCGTAGTTCAATACCATTCTTTGGTACACAAGATCACAATAGTTTTTTAAATATATATAGTACTTGCTACATGCTCAAGTATTAGCACCCATATAATTATCTTTGCCTACTTTTTAGGCTCATTCTGTCAGATTACTAAGAAACCACAAAAATCAATAGTATTTAAGAAGGGCTTAGTCTTTCCCTTTCTCTGACACCCAACACAATACTGCAGAATCTCTACATAGAGGTTTTAAGAAACAGGAAAAACAGGAACAGTGCTTCCGCTGCAAATGATCACAAAGCAGAAGAAAATTGCTCGCACTCGCCCGTCCGTATTCACGTTACCTATCACGTTTCCACTTAACTCTTTTTTCAAGACCGCCAAATTAAATCTTTCCTAGAGTTTCTTTATAGTCAGTTAGAAGTTTAACACTTAATTTCAGATACTCTGTCTTTCCCTCAGTACGTTACCACACATATAGGCACACACATGACACCCAAGGAGCGCCTTACCTGCCAGACACAGGGGCACCCTCTGCTCGGCAGCTGCCTCCCCCCATGCCAGCCCCGCACCAGACTCACCAGATTCCTGATGGCCGAGGAGCCGATCGAGAGGAACATCACTTTCCAGGGCTCCTCAAAGTCCTTGGCCACAGGGGCGTAGATGTAGTAAGCGACGAAGGCAGAGGTGAGGAAGAAGCACAGCAGCTTGGCTCCCATACCGACGGCTACGGCTCCTCGCGGGTCCGGCACTCTCGCTGGCTCTGGGCAGATACAAACCAGCACACCCGTGGAGGGCAAAGTTAATCCCGTGTTTTGTTTGAGTCCCGGCCAGGAGGTGATTTCTCATCTAATCACCCAAGGCAGAGGTTACTCTGCTATGCAGTTCCAGAAAAATGTGTTTCTTCAGCAAGGTGATCAGCTACTTGGAGCTGCCCCAGCCAGTGCCGCAACGCCACGATAAACATCAAGGCTCCTACACCCCGTCACACCCTTTCCTGGCATTTGGGCGACAGCAGCCAGCAGAAGGGCTCGGGAGGAAAGAGGCAGGTGAAATCTAAAGAACAGAATGTGGCCTGTGAGCAGAAAGCTGCCCAAGGTGACACTCAAATGCAAAAAGATGTATTTAATAGTCAGGATTATGAGCTGCTGCTTCATATCGCAGCCGTTCAAACTCAGCCCGGCTTAGAGGCACCCAGTGGGATCAGCCTCCCGCAGCACAGAACCCTCCGTCCTTCCCGGGCAATAGCAAGCACCTCCTGCTTTGGCAAAGCACGTCCTTCGTCTTGTGCTTACCCCAGCACAGTTGTGCAATAATAGCTTAAGCAGAAGAGATACTAATCTTTTACAAGGCTCCTGGTTAATATTTGAAAGATCAGATTTAATTGCCAGCATTATCAGGATTAAGAAATTCCTACGCAACGATTTCTGCACAGGGTGGACCCAGAAATAGGTAAATCCTGCCAGGGAAACACCACAAGCACAGGTACACACAGCAGGAAGGATAAGAACAACAGCGGCAGCACCAAGAGCTCTTTAGGGGTGAACTGGAAAAGGGCTCGTTAAAATTTGAATTATTTTTTTTGCTGAAGGTTTGACCAGGTGTGAAGAAGCACCACCGCTCGTTCTCAGGCTGAGCAGCGCTTGGGGATGGAGCATCCTTTGGAGGACCAGGGAGCGTGAAGCCTCACGGAAGGCTGAAAGCTGAGCTGTGTGTCACCAGCCCAAACGCAGCAGCCCTTAGCCAACCTTCCCAACATTTTCCTTACTAGAAGAGAAGGCAGAGGCTGCTGAAGAGGAACGAAGTAAGGAGCCCTGTC